AGCAAATGAAAATGAGAACACACCAGTTCAGAACTTTTGGGATGCAGCAAAGGTGGTTCTAAGAGGGAAGTATATAGCAATACAAGCCTTTCTCAAGAAACAAGAAAAGTCTTGGGCGCCTGGGTGGCTCAGTCGTTAAGCATCTGCCTTCAGCTCAGGTCATGATCCCAGGGTCCTGGGATCGAGTCCCACATCGGGCTCCCTGCTCGGCAGGAAGCCTGCTTCTCCCTCTCCCACTCCCCCTGCTTGTGTTCCTGCTCTCGCTATCTCTCTGTCAAATAAATAAATAAAATCTTTAAAAAAAAAAAAAAGAAACAAGAAAAGTCTCAAATACACAACCTAACTTTACACCTAAGGAGCTAGAAAAGGAACAGCAAATAAAGCCTAAAGCCAGCTAAACTAAAAGCTGGTTCTTTGAAAGAATTAATAAAATTGATAGGCCCCTAGTCGGACTTATCAAAAAGAAAAGAGAAAGGATCGGGCGCCTGGGTGGCTCAGTCAGTTAAGTGTCTGCCTTTGGCTCAGGTCATGATCTCAGGGTCCTGGGATCGAGCCCATGTTGGGCTCTCTGCTCAGCAGGGAGCCTGCTTCTCCCTCTGCCTGCCGCTCCCCCTGCTTGTGCTCTCTCTGTGTCAAATAAATTTTAAAAATCTTTAAAAAAAGGAAAAGAAAAGAGAAAGAACTAAAATAAACAAAATCATGAATGAAAAAGGAGAGATCACAAGCAACACCACAGAAAGACAAACAATCGTAAGAGAATATTATGAAAAACTATATACTAACAAATCAACACCTGGAAGAAATGGATAAATTCCTAGAAATAAACAAATTACCAAAACTGAAACAGGAAGAAATAGAAAACTTGAATAGACCCATAACCAGCAAAGATATTGAATCAATAATCAAAAAAACTTCCAACAAACAAAAGTCCTGGGTCAGATGGCTTCCCAAGGGAATTCTATCAGACGTTTAAAGAAGAGTTAATACCTGTTCTTCTCAAACTACTCCAATAGATAGAAAAGGAAGGAAAACTTCCAAATTCATTCTATGAGGCCAGCATTACCCTGATACCAAACCAGATAAAGACCCCACTAAAAGAATTATGGATCATCTCCCTGATGAATATGGATGCAAAAATTCTCAACAAGACACTAGCAAATCAAACCCATAAAACATGAAAAAAAATCATTCACCACGATCAAGTGGGATTTATTCAATATAAAGGATGGTTCAATATTTGCAAATCAATCAACATGATACAGCACACCAATAAGAGAAATGATAAGAATCATGTGATCATTTCAAGAGACACAGAAAAAGCATTTGACAAAGTACAACACCCATTCATGATAAAAACCTTCAACAAAATAGGTTTAGAGGGAACATACTTCAACATAGTAAAGGCCATATATGAAAAAACCACGGTGAACATCATCCTCAATGGGGAAAAACTGAGAGCTTTTCCCCTAAGGTCAGGAACACACTCTCAACATTGTTATTCAACATATTACTGGAAGTCCTAGCCTCAGTAATCAGACAACAAAAAGAAAGAAAAGGCATCCAAATAGCAAAGAAGAAGTCAAACTTCCACTATTTGCAGACAATATGACACTTTAGAAAACCTAAAAGACTCTACCAAAAAACTGCTAGAACTGATTCATGAATTCAGTAAAGTGGCAGGATACAAAATCAATGTACAGAAATCTCTTGCATTTCTATACACTAATAATGAAGTAGCAGAAAGGGAAACCAAGGAATCAGTCCCATTTACAATTGCACGAAAAACAATAAGATACCTAGGAATAAACCTAACCAAAGAGGCAAAAGATCTGAAAACTATAGAATACTTATGAAAGAAAGTAAAGATGACACAAAGAAATGGTAAACACATTCCATGCTCATGGATTGGAAGAACAAATATCGTTAATATGTCTATACTACCCAAAGCAATATACACATTTTATACAATCCCTATCAAAATAGCAAAAGCATTTTTCACAGAGCTGGAACAAATAATCCTAATATTTGTATGGAACCACAGAAGACCCCAAAAAGCCAAAGCAACTCTGAAAAAGAAAAGCTAAGCTAGAGGCATGACGATTCCAGACTTCAAGCTGTATTACAAAGCTGTCGTCATCAAGACAGTATGGTACTGGCACAAAAACAGACACATGGATCAATGGAACAGAAGAGAGAGCCCAGAAATGGACCCTCAACTCTATGGCCAACTGATCTTTGACAAAGCAGGAAAGAATATCCAATGGAAAAAATACAGTCTTTTCAACAAATGGTCCTGGGAAAACTGGACAGCCACATGCAGAAGAATGAAACTGGACCATTTTCTTACACCATACAAAAAAATAAATTCAAAATGGATGAAAGACCTAAATGTGAGACCTGAAACCATAAAAATCCTGGAAGAGAACATGGGCGGTAATTTCTCTGACATCTGCCAAACCAGCATGTTTCTAGATATTTCTCCTGAGGCAAAGAAAACAAAAGTGAAAATAAACTATTGGGACTTCATCAAAATAAAAAGCTTCTGTACAACAAAGAAAACAACAATAAAACTAAAGGCAACCTACAGAATGAGAGAAGATACTTGCAAATGACATATCAGATAAAGGGTTAGTATCCAAAATCTATAAAGAACTTGTAAAACTCGACACCCAAAAAAACAAATAATTCAATCGAAAAATGGGCAGAAGACATGAACAGACATTCCTCCAAAGAAGACATCCAAATGGCCAACAGACACATAAAAAGATGCTCAACATCCCTTGGCATCAGGGAAATATAAATCAAAACCTCAATGAGATACCATCTCACACCTGTCAGAATGGCTAAAATTGGGGCGCCTGGGTGGCTCAGTCGTTAAGCGTCTGCTTTCGGCTCAGGTCATGATCCCAGGGTCCTGGGATCGAGTCCCACATCGGGCTCCCTGCTCCTTGGGAGCCTGCTTCTCTCTCTCCCACTCCCCCTGCTTATGTTCCCTCTCTCGCTGTCTCTCTCTGTCAAATAAATAAATAAAATCTTTTAAAAAAAAAAAGAATGGCTAAAATTAACAGCACGGGAAACAACAGGTGTTGGCGAGGATGCGGAGAAAGGGGGAACCCTCGTGCACTGTTGGTGGGAATGCAAGCTGGTGCAGCCACTCTGGAAAACAGTACGGAGGTTCCTCAAAAGGTTAAAAATAGAGCTACCATACGACCCAGCAATTGTCCTACTATTTACCCCCCAAATACAAAAACACTGATTTGAAGGGATGCATGTGCAGCTATGTTTATAGAGCATTTTCAACAGTAGCCAAACTATGGAAACAGTCCAAGTGTCCGTTGACTAATGAGTAGATAAAGATGTCATATATACACAATGGAATAGTACTCAGCCTTAAAAAGGAATGAAATCTTGCCATTTGCAAGGACATGGATGGAGCTAGAGATTATTATGCTAAGTGAAATAAGTCAATCAGAGGAAGACAAATACCATATGATCTCAATCATATGTGGAATTTAAGAAACAAAACAAATGAGCAAAGGGACAAAAAAAAAGAGAGAGAGAAACAGACTCAACTCTAGAGAACACACTGGTGGTCACCGGAGGGGAGGTGGGCAGGGGGATGGGGGAAATAGGGGATGGGGAGTCAGGAGTGCACTTGTCCTGATGTACGGAAGTGTTGAATCACTACATTGTTCATCTGAAACTAATACTACACTGTACGTAACTAACTGGAATTTAAATAAGAACTTAAAAAAACACCACTCCTTGGTGGCACATGTATAGAAACGTTTCTTAGAATAGCCCTTATATGCATGCGAAAATCCACAGTGTTATTTACATGCAGGAGGGTTTCACCACATTGTCCTTCATTCAATACATTCTGTAAATGCACGGGTATAAGATATGTTTCTAAAATTATCATACATTTATTTAAATAAGGCCAGTGTTGTTTCATTGACAAAATGGGTTCAAAACAACAGAAATAAAGCCACTTGTATAAAAGATGCTTCCCGAGTGATATAATTTGAGTCCCCTGGGCAGTGTTCCCTCCGGGATAGAACATGTGCACCACATGCGCTGCATTTAATACCCTCTGTGGAGGCCCTGGGGTAAAAGATGTTCCTGAAACATCGGTTCTGCATGAGCACCACTGAGCGTGGTAGAAAAGAGAAAGAAGAAGGGGACAGCAGAGCTAGTCCGCGGGCGGGACACACGTGGAAGTCGTCCACAGAAGGGAGTCCTTGTGACCAAACACTAGAGTTGTGCTCAGGACAGTAGCTGATAAGATGGAGGCTTTAGGCTGAGAAATGGAATTTATATAAGACAGAAGAAAATGGAAATTACAGGACAGAGGAAACGCAGCGACTGGAACAGCGAACTCAGCGGAGTCGAGGGCACGAACGAGAGGGCTTTCGAGAGCAGATGTCCACAGGGCACGGAGGACAGCGTCGCCTTCCCCGGAGCAAACCAACAAGGACGGTCCGGATTAGGGCAGAAGAGCTTTCCTTCCTTAACTGAGGGCTCTGACTCGGTCACACACCGTGACGGGCACTGTCCCGGCCCCACGGGGAAGCAGCGATGGGCACCGTGGGCCCTCACCTTCAGGGGCGTCCAGCTGAGTGGGGGGATGGGAATGTTAGCTGCGTATGGGGTGGACGGGACTGCAAATCACAGGTAATCAGACCCCAAAGGGCGTGCTCTTGTTATTTGGTTGCCTACTTTCCCGGGGAAAGATGTCAAACTAGGAACTCTAAGCATTATCCCTAGCCTTTGACAGGTCAGCCCACCGGAAAAATTATGGTTGCAGGAATCACCGGTACAAACACCTACCAAATGGTCCCAGAGCTCTGCCTGCACACTCACTGTGATGGGGACCTCACTACCTATCAGGACGGCTGTTCTTGACCCCAAAGAGACCCTGGAGCCCGGGAGCGGTGGCTGGCCGCGTGCTCGGGTGGTAAGGATGTAATGCAGGAACAGGAGTAAAGAGCGTCACTGACCTTCGGGGGAAGATTGGGAACTTTCAAGGTTATGACAATCGAAAATTCTTCAGGGAAGAGGTCACATCGGAAGAAAATCCTCGACGCAGGGAAGCTCAAGGCGTGGGGAGCGGCGGCTGAGAGCTGGAGTCCTCGAACGCCGTGGGCCTGCGTTACCCTGATTCCACCCGCAGCGCTGTGTGGAGGGATGGCCTCTGCCAGGATGTCCAGGGGGCGCAGGTCTGTGTCAGGGAAACCACAGGTGGGTTAAGCGGGCCCCGATGAGTTTCCCCTTTACCAGTGGGGAAACTGAGGCCCCAAGGGTCAACGACGCACCTGCAGACCGCACCCCACCCCGGGTTTTGCCCAGAAGGAGCTACACAAGCACATTTCGTGGCACGCTATTTCCCAGTCGATGGCCACGCGCTATGCTGGGCGTGCGAGGGGGAGAGAGGAAGGATGGGTCCCAGCCGTGGCCCCAGGGAGTGCACGCAAGCAGGAGCCAGGCTCCCCCAGTCCAGGGACCACCAAGCGTAGCATGCCTCATGCTCTCAGTGGGGCTCCGTGATGCATGTCCCCCGTGCTGTGGAAGGGTGGGTCCTCTGGCGTGACCGGCAAGCCACCCTGGAACTGGGCACCGCTCCTCCGACACACCACAGAGAGGCAGATATGCCCCTGGAGAAACTGCCCTGCAGTTCAAGGTCATCGAACATAGCTGACGGGCTGGCCTGGCCTCAGCTGAGGCCAGATGATAGGAAAGGAAAATGGTAGCGTCTGTGGCCAGAGGGGCTGTTTCTGGACCAGCTCGTGGGGCCCGGCTCCTGGAAGGGAGGTGCTGGCTTGGGGCAGAGCCCAGGGCCACCGCCTGGACCCTGGCCGATCCAGCCACCCCATGCCTGGCTGTGGCCTGGGGTAAATGACCAGGCACGCAGGAATGAATTAGCCTTTCCCAGCGCCATTCCCCTCGGGCCCAGGGGCCCTCCTGGGGCCTGGGTCTGACAAGGGGGACAGTCGGTCCCCCACAGGGCTCGGTCAGCAGGGTCGGCAGGCCCTGTGGTGATCCCAGTGGAGGCTGACCTGAGGCCCAGTGTGGTCTGTCATGGACATCCCACCCTCCCTCCCAACAGGAGCCAAGGTCCCTTGATTCGAGGAGCCCTTCCAGGATGGGGCAGCCTCCCTGGACAAGAGACCTATGACCAGGGTCCTCAAGGGCTTCCTGTGCTGTGACAGCCTAGCAAGGCTCGTGGCACGTACCACGTTTCATTGGTCTGGGGCATAGTGGCCTGTGTCCTTTCCCGAATGTGCGGCCCGTCCGGGACGGACACTGTGGCGTCTCCGTATTCCCAGAAGTGCATACAGTAGTTGCTAAATGAATATCTGCCCAACTGAAGTGAACCGGGTAGCAAGTGGCAGGGGACAGTCCAGGGAAAGCTAGTGCCCAGCCAGAGAAGCGTTCGAACGCGGCCGTGTCTGCAGCGACAGGCTGAGAGCCTCGAGGGGAGGCCTGTGGCGTGGAGGTGCGTGTGCGCCGCTCACGGGGAGGCTGTGGGCAGACGGTGACCGGCCCCAAAGCGGGAGTGGCTTGTAGCATGCAGGTGCTGGGCCCGGGAATCCGGACTCTCTCCCGGGAGCGCACATCGCCGCTTCGGGTTAATGGTAGGCTCCAATAGGAGGAAATTCGGTCAGCCATTGACTGGTCCGTGTGGTTTACCAAGGCAAACGCTCTTCAAAGCAGGGTCACCGCCACCAGCAAAACCCAGAGAACCACAGCCATCCCGGACAGGTAGAGACGCTGGCTGGCCCGGTGGACCGGGCACCCTGTCCTGCCGGTGTCGGCTCCAACCCCCCACCTCACTGGCCATGACAGATGCTAATATCTGGGGGCGTCTGCCAGCCTGCAGGCGCCCTGCGTGCTAAGTTCATCCCCTCCACACCTGACCCAGGCTGGTGCGGCACAGAGGATGTGACTGAGTCCCCGCCCCTGGGAAGACCCCTAAGGCCTTCATCAGAGGGCAGAGTCAAGGCACCCAGCCCTCCGCTCTCCGAATGTGGGCAAGGACAGCAGGTGACCAGTCAGAGAGGAGAGCCCCTTCTCAACGAGGCCAGGGAGCATCGCGCCCCCTCAGGGGCCCGGGTCACGTGGCCGCCGCGGCAGTCACGTTGGACCAGACCCCAGGGGCTCAGGCAGACTCTGGCCCACAGCTCTCAGGCAGCCCACAGAAGGATCCAGAAATCCCAGGGACACCCTCCTTAGGGGTCAAACCAGCGATCTTCCTTGAAGCAATAAGGACTGTGGCTGACATTGAGGACAACAACCTGATTTTTGCAAGAAGCCCAGAGTCGGGCAGCAGCATGAGAATGGCAGGTGGCCATCCCCGGGGCAGAGAGGGGTTCTGAGACACGAGGGCCTTTGCTGGTCAGCAGACGGACTCTCCACAGCGCTTCCCACCCCTCTCCCAGGACAGGGCCCGCAGAGCTGGGAGCCCCTGCCCCCCACCCTCGGCCAGGCCTGCCCCTTCAGCTGCCGCTCCCTGCGGGGGTGAAGGTGGCCAGGGACGAGGACAAGCGAGTCACAAAGCAGAAGGTAGAGCACATTTTCCTCCCTTAAATCAAGGGGATTTAGGAAAGAAAACTGTCTGTGAAACAGGAGTGCCGAGGACAGGCACCCAGGTGCAGAGAAGAAATGACAAGACAGCATCTAAAGTGAGCCGCAGGCGTGTGGTCAGGAGTCCGGGAAAGACCGGTCCTGAGCAGGCTGCAGGGAGGCCGCACGGGAGGGGGTGGGCTGAGCGCCGTCAGGCCCCGGGGGCAAGGCGGAGGAATCAGCACGGCCAGCACCGAGCTAGACGCTCGCTACCTAATAAACGCCCCCAGCAGGAAACCTGGCAGGGCTGTGTCCCCAGGGACTCACAGGACAGGAGCCCCGGGCAGTGAGTGCACTGGAGGCTGCGGACCCGCCCGGCCTGGCCAACGGCAGCCGAGGAGCACCGCCGAGGTCACACCTGCCCATCCCCAGGGACCGGCTGCCGGGTACAGAGCAGGTCAGCAGCAAGGCTTGGGCACAGCAGGGGACACTGAGGTCCTTCGGGAGAGGACAAGGACGTGGACGTGCCCACGCTCTGGTGGAGGAATGGCTAGCGGCAGGGGGTGAGCGGCCCGCGTCGGGCACACTGCTGATCTCGGTCAGGTGGAAGCGTGTGCACAGCGTGGGGGCCGGTGGGGCGGGAGGGGCCCTGAACAATGTCGGGAGGACACCATCCGATGACCTCTGGGAGGCGCTGTGAGGAGGGGCAGTGTATTCGCATTGGCGTCACTATTTATGTGTGACAAAGTGCACGCAGAGAGCTCGGAGACGGGACACTTGAGTGTGCACTGAACGCAGCCGCTCCGTGGAGCAACCGTGGGGGCGCTCGTGGGAGAAGGGTCTGTCCCTCCAAGGGCGGCGGTCACCCCCGAGGCAGCTGTGTGTGTCCGCACAGGGTCCCAGACCAACTCTAGGGAGGGCACGGGCATCTCGGGGGAGAGCCTGTGCACCGGACCAACTGTGACGAGCCCTCGGGCTGGCCAGCACTGTGGGGTTGTGTGTGGTCGGGGTCCCTGGAGCGTGTGAGGCTCTAAGTAAACACTGGGCCCTAAATTCACCCTCAAAACGCTGAGAGACGCTGGGACCGGCCGGTGGTTTCAGCTGAGGCCCCACCAGGGTCTGGCCCCTCATTCAGGACACGCAGGTCTACCCCCAGAGAGGCTGCCAGCACCCAGAACATGCTGCAGCCTGGCTGAGCCCCGGGCACAGGCAATCAGGGTGCATTAGCAGCAGGGGAACCCCGAATCTGGCTAATCCCAGGGAGAGCCTCTCCCTCCATTGTTTGATTGAAGAGCCCCTTCCTGGTTGTCCTCCCCCCGCCCCATCCTGCCCTTCCAGCCCATGCAGACGAGCAGGCTTTGCTCTGACAGATGCTCAGTCGTCGGCATCCGGTTCTCCACCTACGCCTTGTCTGCAGTCTGCACACACAGTTGGAGGGTTTCCAAGGTTAACACGGGCAGAGAGTTTTGTACCTCCCTGGAAACCTTCCTGCTGGATGCAGGGATGAGGAGTGACCAAGTCTACAAAAGTCAGAGCCACCGCAAGATGGTCAGAGCGCACGCAGTGATGAAGCTCTGCAAATGAACTCTAATCAGTTAGACACACGTTCAGTGCAGCGGCTATATTCACACCGAGAGGCTGTATACACGAGCAGACCCTGGCCGAGCCATCTGCCCGGTGGCCTCCACACCAGCCAGCCTGGAAACCAAACAGCCGGGACTTGGCCAATGACGGGCCCCTTCCCTAACCCCTAACCAGTCACGTGGGCAACCCCGCCTTGAGGTAGCTATCTGCAGCTTCCCCACACCTCAGTCCCCGTGTGGCCCCCCCGAGCCTCTCTTTTTCCACTAGAAGTTTTCTCCCTCCCCTGCTTTGAGTCTCTGCCAAACCCGGTGCTGGTGGGGGACCCCCTATTACAGCCAGCTTGGAATAAACAGCCTTTGCTTCTTCTCATTTAGGTGGTCTCTGTTTATTCTGCAAAGGCTTCTTGAAAGGGCAGTTTCAGGGGCGCCTGGGTGGCTCAGATTGTTGAGCGTCTGCCTTCAGCTCAAGTCATGATCCCGGGGTCCTGGGATTGAGTCCCACGTCCGGCTCCTGGCTCAGCAGGGAGCCTGCTTCTCCCTCTCCCTCTGCCTCTCCCCCTGCTCATGCTCTCTCTCTCTCTCTATCTCTGTGCCTCGAATGAATAAATAAAATCTTAAAAAAAAAAAAAAGAAAGAAAGAAAGGGCAGCTTCAGAGATAGCTTTTGTCCTCAAGGTCCTTACCATTCAGCAGAGATGTGGTGGGAGCCACAAATACACGAACTCAAAACTGGCTAAACGTAAGGTCCTAAACCAGCCTCAAGGTCTTAAGGTCTGGCCCATAACTGACTCACTGAGGTTCTCAGAGCCTCAGTTTGCTCATCTGTAAGATGGGATGGTAGTGACTTCCCCTGCCAGGGACCCAGCTGAGGGGGAGCCAATTACAGCAGCAAGCCACACTGGCAGAAGTGGTGAAGACTTCAATCGCCTACTGCAACAGTATGAGCAAGAGACTAAAGCCACAGGAAGCACTGAACCCCCACCCCCCACAGAAGAGCATGTGGTGGGGGTCATGCCCAGGAGCCCAGGACAAAAGCCTCTCATGGGTTGATGAGCCCTGTGGCCCAGGAAGGAGGAGGAGGGAGGGCTGGGCGTGGAAAAGTACCAGGTACTGAGTCAAAGCAGGGTGGGGGGAGTAGGTTCCAGGCATCCTACAAGGAGGCCTCTGATGGAGGTGCCAGGGCTACAAATGCAGATGGGCCTCCAAGGGGGGCTGGTGGGCCTGGGTCCCTGCTGCAGTTCCCCCAGGATGGCAGTGCCCTGGCAGCATCCCAAGCCTGGTGTGTGGCAGGGCTGTCTCATGCCCTCCGCCAGGTGAAGCCTTTGTGATTGCCCTTGGCTGGGCCTGATAGATCACGCGTAGGATTTTTGACCAGGAGCCAGGGTCTTCGTGCCCCAGAACTGTTCCCTGGGAAGACTTTCTATACTGGAGCCCATCAAGACCCAAGTTATTCGGAAGAAGCCACCTGCCTTGGCTGGGGGTGCAGGTGTGAGGCACAGCCCCTCAGCCAGGTGGATTCTGCACTCTAGATGGTCTCCAAGAAGGGGCTCTACCACTGGGGTGGAAAGGGAACAGAACTAAATGGCCAAGAAAATCCCCCTTACCCTGTGGATTTCATTGATTTAAATTGTGTGCCCAGGGCCCAGGAGGAGTTTATTTCTAGGAATTTAGGTTAGGGTATTATAAGTGTTGCCCTATGGGACAGTAAGACTGAATGTATAGCCATCATCACAAAACAGGCCAGTTTAGGCCCAAGAAGAGGCAGGTGGACCCATAGAGAGAAGAGATGGAGAACTTGAACACCCATGGTCAGTAGTCCACGCAGATCAGTGGGGAGGGAGGGGTTGTTGGGAGAAAGTGATGGCAAAGCTGGGTGTCTGTGTGGACAAAACCGAACTGAACTCTTCCCTAAACGAGATATACAGCTCACCCCTCCAGGAGGGATGAATGGTGAAACTTCCAAGTTAGAGGGAGGGTTGGGAGCCATCTCTGTGACTTTGGGGTACAGATGATTCCCCAAACAAGCTCAGTAAACACAAACTATGAGAAGTCATTACACTTGCTCACATCAAAACAAGAACATCTGCTCAAGAGGGACACAATGCGGAAGGCCAGTAGTCCCAGGACAGAATGAGAAAGATGTTTGCCATACCATGAAAGGTACAGAAGGAACAGGGACCTCCTGAAAACCAACAAGGAAAATATAAGAACAATCCTCAAAAAAAAAAAAAGGCAACCTAAAAAAAGAAGAAACCCAAAGGGCTCACATACGACAAAATGCTCAAGTCAATACAGGTCAGAAAGAGATCATTTTTCTCCTACTATACTGGTTAAAAAAAGGAAATAAGAAAACAATGTAAAGATAGAGCATGCATGGGAAAATAACTCATGTCCCTTTTGTGTGTTCAAACCTGCTTTTCTTAACTTGTTTTAAAGGAAGTCATGGAATGTGGAACAGATTGGCACACGGGGCTTTGAGCAGAACTCCTGGACTCTCCGGGGCTGCAGCATGGATGCATCTGAA